GGGGTCCGGGGTGGGTATCGGGGGGCACTAGGAGACCGGGGGGATCGGGGCACCGGCACATACCCAGCCACCGGGCACGTCCCTCCCCGCCGGCGGCTGCAGAGCCCCGCGCCCCGGCCCCGCCGCATCCTGTCGGGGGGTGCTCTGTGCCCCTCTCTCGCCCCGTCGCATCTTCCCGGGGGTGTTCTGTAACCCATCCCCCCCGGGGGAACCTCTCCTTGGGTGTGTCCCTGGCAAACCCCTTTCTCCGGGGGTGCCCGGTTTTGGGGGGGAATCCCCTGTAGCCCCTCTGCCCCGGGAGCCTCTTCCCTGGGGGTGCCTGACCACCCTTCCGGAGACACCAGCGGTGGAGGGGTCCTTGCAAACCCCTCCCGGGGTGCTGAGCCCCCCTGCGGGCTCCCTTCCCAGCGGCAGGAGCTGCCCCGGGCAGCAGGGACAGGGCACAGCCCACCCCCGGGCAGTGGAGCTGGTGGGGGTCCTGCCATCCCTGGAAGGACCCTCTCTGGGACCCTTGGGTAGGGTGGGGACACGCTGATCCTCCCCTGGGATGGTGGAGCGGGGATGGAGCTGTGGTGGGGGGTGACAGGGAGACACTGGGGGGTCCCAGTTCCCCCTTGTCTGGGGGTTCCAGCCCTTCTGGGCAGCTCCTCTTGGGGAGTCCTGTTTGCCCTGTGATCCTGAAGGAAGGGGGTTTGGGGGTGCTGGGACCCCTCTCTACCTTGGGGGTAGAGACAGTGGGTGCTCCAGGCTCTGAAGACCCCATGAATGCCCCCAAGCCCATCCTCTCCCCACACAGGGGTCACAGCACAGCTTGGGGTGTGTGGACACCTGGGGTGCGTGGCCAGATGCTGGGCATCCACCCTGACCTCCTCCTGGCCCCTCTGCACTCCTTGGGGGTGACCCTGGTGGGATGGGGTGCGCTGGGTTCCCCCCAGGGGTGTGGGCTCCCTGAAGCGAGGAGGGGACCCCCAGCAGAGACCCGTACCCCCTGGCCCTCCCTGGGGCTCCGGTGCCAGCCGGAGGCATCAAATATTAACGGAGGCAGCGGAGGAGCTGAAAATAACCCTCCCTCCGAGGGAGCTGACCCAGATCCAACCAGCCCCAAAGCTGGGCTGGACCCACAGCCCCCACCAGTCCACTGCCGGGGCTGAATCCAGCCCCTTCCCCTCCTGATGCCAGCTATATAGCCCCTATATATTATGCAAATGAGCTATAAGGGCTTATTACGCAAACGAGAGGGGGCTGGCACTGCCCGGAGCTGGATGGTCCCCGGGGCTGGCCCAAGGGCTCAGAGAGGACAGCGGGGATGGAGGGGGCCACATCGGTGTCCGTGTCCACCCAGGTGTCCGGGGGCTGCCCAGGAGCGCTGCCCTGTCCCTCTCCCCTCCTGTAGCACAGAGGGACCCCCCCAAAACCGGGCCAGGTGCCTGCCCCGCTGCAGAGCTCACCCCCCCCGAACAGCCGGCGTGTCCCAGCAGCATGGGGAAGCAGAACAGCAAACTGCGCCCCGAGATGCTCCAGGACCTGCGGGAAAACACCGAGTTCTCCGACCTGGAGCTGCAGGGCTGGTACAAGGGCTTCCTGAAGGACTGTCCCTCCGGCATCCTCAACGTGGAGGAGTTCAAGAAGATCTACGCCAACTTCTTCCCCTACGGCGACGCCTCCAAGTTCGCTGAGCACGTCTTCCGCACCTTCGACACCAACGGCGACGGCACCATCGACTTCCGAGAGTTCATCATCGCCCTGAGCGTCACCTCTCGCGGGAAGCTGGAGCAGAAGCTCATGTGGGCCTTCAGCATGTACGACCTGGATGGCAACGGCTACATCAGCCGGGAGGAGATGCTGGAGATTGTGCAGGTACCGGGCTCCCTCGCCCTGTTGCAGCTCCTGGTGTGTTGGTTCTGTGTGTCACGCTGGTGTGACGGTGGCCGTCCCCTCCCAGGATGCAGACAGGACCCTGCATTACCCCCAGTACAGGGCTTGACAGTGCCTGGGATGGAGCCAGTTGCTGCTGACAGAGAGCTTCTCGCTGAGCTCTGCAGGGATCAGGCTACCCCAGGGCACCCCCTGCTCCTTCCCTGTCCTGGGGACATCCCTTTGTCACCCAGTCCCGGGGCTCTTCCCACTGGCCCCGCTCCCAGTGCTCCTGGGGAGGGCTGGGAGCGCACAGCCACCCCCGAGCACCCCGGGGCAGAGGGATGTCTCATCGGCAGACAGAGGAGATGCTCTCCTTGCCCAAACCCCAACCTGGTGGCATCGGCATTGGCAGGTGACTTGCGAGGACGTTGCTGTGGCATCTTGGTGGGCATCTCCTCCCTGCAGGAGCAGCTCTATCTGCCTGCTGCAGCCCTGGGGGTGCTGCTGGCATCCACAGCTAAAGCCCCCCATAACCTGATAGCACGGGGAGTATGTCAAACGCCATTCCCAGGGCAGGGAAGCCCAGGGGTCTGTCCCCCTGTCCCTGATGACAGGGACCCACCTCGCACCCACCCTCATCCCCGTCTCCCTCTCCCAGGCCATCTACAAAATGGTCTCCTCTGTGATGAACATGCCCGAAGATGAATCAACTCCGGAGAAAAGAACGGAAAAAATCTTCCGACAGATGGATACTAATAACGACGGTAAATGAGAGGAGATGGAGGGGATTAAGGGAAAGGTCTCATGGCTAAATCCAGGGGTCTTAGACGGAGCCGCACGCGCGCTGATTAAATGGCTCACGTCCGTCGGCGCGGCCGGAGGGAGCCCGGCAGCCGGAGGGGCTCAGGGTGCTCCCCAGAGCAGACCCCAGGGGTGCTCATCCCAGGGGGGTGGGTGTCTGTCTGTGGTGTGTGCTGGGAGGTCTCCGGTCCTCTGTGTCCACCTGGGACAGGGCGGTGGCCACCAGGCTGAGCTGTGTCCCCCTGCTCCTGCAGGCAAGCTCTCGCTGGAGGAGTTCATCAAAGGTGCCAAGAGCGACCCGTCCATCGTGCGCCTGCTGCAGTGTGACCCCAGCGGCGCCGCGCAGCTCTGAGCCCTGCCGACCCCCCGCAGCCCCCCACGGACCCCCCACCATCACCCCACCCTGCAGCCGGCCACTGCTGCTGTCCCCTGCCCCGCGGTCCCCACCACCGTGTCCCCACGGCCCCTCCTGGGGAGAGAGCTGGAGCCCAGCTGAGGCTGCGACAAAGGGGAGCCCGGGGGGATGGTCCCCATTGCTGGGGGGCTCCTGCCCTGGCTCAATTCGGGGAGAAAAGGAGGCAGGGTCTGCCCGAGAGAGGACGGTCCCCCCCAGCACTGGGGGCTTGGATCAGGGGGACAACCCAGCCCAGTGGGAAAGGCTGGTGGCATCGCCAGTGGGAGCAGGGACACGGCCCAGGGGACAAGGACCCGGTGGCTCGGGGGCCCCCCAGCACCCCCCCAGCATGCACACACTGCCACAGCCGGGGGGCCGGGCCAGCCCCTTCCCCACAGCGCCACGGGCAGGGGCCGCGGGGCGGGGACACGCTTCTGGTCTTTTAATACCTGCAGAATAAAGTTTGTGTCAGTGCAGTCAGCGGTGGGAACGGCACCGTCGATGCCGAGGGGAACGTTCCTCCCTGCAAGGTCCGGATCCAGCCTGGTGCCTCCCTCGCTGCAGACCCATGTGACCCAAGGCCATGGGGATGGGCTCGTGGATCTTGGCCGGTGGCATCCAGGGCATAGGTCTGCCCCATAGCCGGGCTGGGGGGCAGCTGGGTCACTTCGTGGGGCTGTGCAGATGCTGGGACAGGGCAGGGGTGGCCGGGACACGTCCATGGGGCTGAGCCTTGAGCCCTGCTCAGAGCCGGGCGGTTTCCACACCGTCCAGCCTCAGCAAGCCCAGGCACTGCCCGGGGTCAGGGCTCTCTGCCGGGGCTTCCTGCAAGGAGACCTGCAAGCCAGAGAGACCGCTGAGAGCGGGACCAGGGGGAGAGAGCTTCAGGTTGGCAAGTCCTACCCCTGTCCCGGAGCCCCGAGGGGTCCATCCCAGCCCTGTACGGGAGCAGGTTGGTGCTGAGCCCGGGGACCAGGAGTCACCTTCCTCCGGTGCGCCCCGCGGCAGCAGCAACCGAGGCGGAGGAGATGGAGGGTGAGCAAGAGGCAGCGGATGCCAAAGACTATCTCCATCGAGTCGAGCAGGAGGGAGATGACCCAGAGGGACAGCGTGGAGCTCTGCGGGGACACAGGGTGTCACATCCCCACCGCTCCATCCCCCCCCTCCCCAGTTTGGTCACCTATAGCCCCCTGGGACTCACATAGACATGGGTGGGATCGAAGGGGCACTCGCGGGAGATGGGGCCAAGGGCGATGTCACCGACGGTGCAGGGGGCCAGCAGCGCCCGGCCCTGGCTACCCAGCGTCAGCCCGATGGAGACGGCCAGCCCCAGCAGGCAGGACAGGCAGCCCAGGCTGCTGCTGGCACTCAGGGTAAAAACCACCCATTTCTGCAGTAGGAGAAGAGAAGAGAAGAGGCAGCACAACAAGCTAGGACTGTGCACGGCCGCCTGTCCAGGCTCCCTCCCTGGGGACAGTCCCTGAAGAGGGGACGTGGTGGCTGTGCACGCTCCATGGGGTGGCTGCAGCCTGCTGGGTGACGGGCGAGGGGCTGGGGGTGCTTACGAGGGAGGCAGGGGCGAGGTACCGGGACAGCATGAGGGCAGCAATTCCACAGGAGATGGTCTGCGAGGAAGCGTGGGGAGGTCAGTGACACACGGTGCCCACTCACTCCAGGGACATTGGTCCCCTTTCCCTGTTGACATTGTCCCTGAATCATCTGGCCAGTTTGGCATCATGGAGGGCAGTGCTTTGTCTCCCCCAGCCTCTACTCATTAACAAGTCCCTGTGCATTTAACCCCCCTGGTTTTGTGCTAAAAGGCTTACTTGGAGCAAGGAAGGGGAGATGGAGCAGGGTCCATCCCATATCCTCCTGCATCCTGCCTCCTGCCCACCCTACATCCATCCCACATCCTCCTGCATCCTATCTTTTGCCCACCCTACATCCATCCCACATTCACATCCATCCTGCATCCCACCTCCTGCCCACCCTGCGTCCATCTGCATCCACCCCAGATGCACCCCATGCCCCCCCATGTCCCCCCTACCCTGCAGCCCCCGGTACCAGCAGCGCGGAGATGACGGAGGCAGCGTTGGCGATGGTGTAGTGCAGGGAGATGGCATCCCGGGGGTTGACCACGAAGCGGAGGACGGTACCATGGATGAAAGCGCCGATGATGAAGTTGAGGTGCCCGATGATGAGGAGGATGAGGCCCATTTTCATGAGGACCCTTTGGTGGCTGCTGGGATCGAGGTGGCCTGAGATGGAGGGGAGAGAAGGGCAGAGCAAGGAGTGGCTGGCACTGAGCTGTCCCTCCTGCCCTTGCACCATGCTCAGCACACACAGGGGACATTTGGGGACACCACAGAGGACGTGCCCCGTGCTCGTGGAGGGATGACGCGGGAGGCAACGTGGTGGCAGCCACTGGTAGCCCAGGTATGCAAACCACTGCTCCAGCCAGCTCTCCTGCAACCAGGGAAGCAGTGTGGGGCCAGTGGTCACGGGGATGGGTGTCCCTGGTGGGGCTGGGAAGGGATGGGATCCCTGGAGCGATGAGGAAGCTCGAGGGAGAGCACCTGCCCCTAAATGACAGCTCCAGCACTGGCTCTCAGCACCCGGTGTTTGAGGAGTGACCGTAGCAGCAGTGGGGCTGTTGCCCCATCAGGATCCATCCCGGGACCACTCTCCCACCATCACCCAGGTGCTAAGCCCAGCTCTGTCCCTGCCCCTCAGCCCCCCTGCCTCAGTTTCACTGCAGGAAGGCAGTGCTGGGACACCCTCCCGTTGCGATCACCATGCCAGACCTAGACTCACCCACTTGACACATCTTCACCAGGCCAGGATCAGGCCATTAGAGCTTCTCGATGCCCCCGGGGCCAGCTCTGCCCTCAGCCTCCGGGGTTGGCAGCTGGATCCATCAGGGCTGAGACTGTGAAAAGGCCACCGGCCACCGGAGAAGCTCGAAGCTCGCCTGCTGCACTCCACTGCCACCCCAGTTCCTGTCGGACCAGCTCCCCAGGATGAACAAAGGGATAACTCCACCTTTGCCTGCCTCTGTCAAGAAGCACAGCCCTGTCCCCGCCCCTGCGCACCCCTTGCTGCCGAGCTGGTGGCCATGCCATGCTGATATGTCGTGCCACATTGCCTTGTCCCCTTCCCCATCCATCCCCGCTCTCTCCCTGTCACGCTCAGGTCAGTCCACCCTAAAACAACGGTGGCAGAAGAGGATCCAGCCAAAGAGGTCTGAGGCCACAGGCTGAGGGTCCGGGCAGGGGCAGCCCCTCGGGGTGGGACACTGCCAGACCATGGGGCATGGACCAGCATCATCGGGTACTGGGAATCCACCTGCAGAGAGAGGGAAAAGCAGAGGGGTCAGGGCTGGTGCCAACTTCCCAGGAGGTGAGTCAGGAGCCAGTTTGGTGACAAACGCCCAAATGAAGCTTCCAGGGAAGTTACTGACAACAAAGAGACTGAGAGGGGCCAGGGACAAGGGCTTTTTGAGGTGGCTGCAGGAAGAGCAGCCCAGCTCTACTCACACTTTGGGTGTTTCGGGTAGCCCTCCCTCCCTCACGGGATAGCCTTGCTCTCTGCAAACCTTGTTACAGACATGAGGCACCAACAATTTAATTAGAGGGACACTAATGCAGTCCTGGCTCCTGGGACTGGTCTGGGGAAGGGCTTGATCCAGGCAGAGACTTAAAGACGCTTGTTCCTAATATGCCATTTGAGGCACCAGCCCAGCCCTCAGCCTCCTTGGAGCCCTGGCACCCAGCAGCGCTGACAATTTGGCTCAGCACAGCTTGAGCTTCACTTCTTCACTCCTTGAAGCTGTACAGGGATGGGGGAGAAAAGAGACACAGCCCTGCTTCAGGACAAAGCCCTGCCTGGCACATGTACCATCCCCACTGCCGCCGCAGACAGGACACGGCTGTCACATCCCCCTCTCTAGAGGCAGAAGAGGGGACGCCCCCGTTTTCCCCATGCCTTGGGCTAGGGCAGTGCTTACAAACGTTTGAGCAAAGGGGAAAGGCAGGTAGAGGATTTCACCGTTCATCTTCAGAAAGGATGAGCTGGATGCGAGTCGAATGACAACCAGAGTCTTTATTCAAATAGTCCCTTAGGATGTTTGCAGACGTACAGACACACGTACATATTTACACTCGTACACACCTCACAGAGCTTGAACCAATAAATTAAAACAAAAAGAGGGCGGGGGGTATTTTTTTTTTTTTTCTTTTCTCTCCTTTTTCTTTTTTGTCACATAAGAAACAGCAACTCCCCGAGGCCAGGCTGGGGAACTGGCTGGAGAATCGCAGACAGAAGCCAACACAGACACGACCCTGCCCCAAAAGATGCAATGACAGCGAGTGTGTGCTTTTTCAGCAGGAGGCCGCTTCATACTCTGGCTTCGATGCACTCCAGTTTGACCATTTCATCCAGCCTGCAGCCCTCGGCTTGGGCACAGTGGCTCAGGTGGGCACTTGGGCTCTCGGCACCTCTAGCTTTGGGGGTCTGGGGGTGGGTTGCTGCAGTCTGAGGGTGGGGGGAGTCGCATTCGTCCGAGGTAATGTCCGGCACGTCGTCCGACTGGCTGTCCGAGCTCTCCAGGTCGCTCCGTATGCTCTCAGGCTGGGCCAGGGTGATGTCCCAGGTTTTGCTGGCAATGCAGTCCTTTTGCTCACAGCTTTGGTGTTTGCACGTCTGCTCCTGCTCACCGTCCTCCTCCTCCTCCTCCTCTTCTTCCTCCTCCTCCTCTTCTTCCTCATTCTCTGCCATTTGGGTGTGGACGTGCAGAGAGTCCTCTGTACTGCTGCCGCTGGCCAGCTGGTAGTGACTTGGTTTGGCTTCGATGTCCACCTGGATCTCCATGTTATTGCACTCCCTGCAGAAACAAGCACCATTGTGTTACTGGGTACAGTTACTGGGTTCGACTGGGTCACCACTGGCCACTGCATCACTGGACCGGGAAGATCACGCTTCCCAGACACGAGCAAGATGCTCATCACCCCACAGCATCTGGCAGACACCAGCAATCGCTGCTCTCCTTGAGTTTTCCTCACAGCAGCCAAGATCTTCCCCAGGCCGTGAGCCAGGGGCTGAACTGGGAAAGCACCAGAGTTCCCACAAGCAGCCAGGAACAGACCTTGAGGGCCCTGGGCTGCAGATCCTCTCCTCAGCCTCCACATTACCCATGGAGGCTGCTCCCAAACTGTCCCCAGTCCTCCTCCTGAGTGAGTAAAAGGATCAATCCACTTGCCAGCTCCAGAAGAGCAGGCTGGTGTAACTGCAGTCATCTCACCACCCACAGCAGCACCTCGCAGAGCACAGATTTTTCCAGGACACCCACTACCAACACTCTTCTCAGCATCAGCATGTCCTCCTACCTGTCCTGGGGGTTGTAGGAGCTGATGATGGAACCAGCCATGGCTCGAGTGCTGGCGTTGTCGCTGATAGCCCCCAAGCTGACCGAGTCTTTAGGG